TGTCTGTCACTAGCAGTGTCTGGGGAGGGGAGGGGGAGGAGAGAAGCAAAGGTTTCCAGCACAAGGTGCTGCCCCGAAGTGCTTCTACTAAACGGCCGGGCAGAATTCCGTGAAGCACAGGAAAAGAGAGAGGACGTTCCAGGTCCAGGGCACAGCCAGGGCAAAGGGAGGGAGTTCCACGTGTGAACAGAGAGCGAGCTGGCTGTCCAGAGCAGTGGTGTCAATCTCAAACAGAAACCAATCCCGATGGGCCATGTGCTGACTCAGAAAACCACAAATGAACATTACCTCCGTGGAATTGTACTTTCATTAATTTTGTTCATTACGTGGCAGGCAAGGGGAGCGATGTCTAAGAAAGAAAGACAGGCTGGGGCTGGGTGGTAAGAGGCTTGAGAAGCCCAGGAGCGCAGAAGGCTCTCAGAGACGAGGCCTGATTGTCCACTCTGCCACAGCCCCCGGAGGCTGGCACCCCACAAGGCTGTCTGCCGCTGTCAGAATGTCCTGGCCTCGCACTGGCCGTGCAGAGTAAATGCTTCCGGAATGCTCTCAGGTGAGGAGGACCTGGAGGTACCAGGAGAGGGGCCAGGGCCTGAAAGAAAGAGTGTGGCATGGACTGTGTCCTGTGTCCAACGGGGCTAAGGTCAGCTAAGCCCTCAGGGATGCCTTCCAGTGAGGTGCAGTTAACAAATAAGTGAGGCAGCGCCATCCTGCCTAGGGCCCCCGGCTCGTTAGGAAGCATTTTTACACAGTAAATGACTTACCAATAATAATGTGTAACGCGGACGTTACCGGGTCATTAACACCAACCGTGGCATAGCACACACAATCTGTTGAACCTAAAAAAAAGAGATTCTTGTGAATGATCAACTCAGGGATGAGGATGAAGGCTCAACCCCCTCAGCATCTGGAAGTTTCTCAGCCGGCTCTGATACAACTCCTAAGATGCCCAAAGAAACGACGGCTGCCTGGCCCCATTTCACAGGCGAAAACAGAGGACCCCTCCCCGGCCCATCCTTGGCCAGGCCTCCCAAGTGACCCCCTTCTCCTTCCTAGGGCATCGCGGCATCGTCTCCACAAGGCGTCGGGAAATTCTAGACCATCCCTGTTCTCTCCCTCAAAACGAAGCTGAAGGTGGTGCTTGCTGGGTGGCCGGCTTGCTCCGAACGTGCTGCACTGGCCGGCGGCTGCTAGGAGTACGTGCTTAACGACACGAAGGTTTTCAGTGGGTGGGGGAAGGTGACAGGGAGAAGCAATGGCTGATCAAAGAAAGCACAAGACACGGTTGGACAAGGCCAAAAAGAATCACAGACGAGGACGACTTTGAAAACTGCATACTGAATTTGTGAGATATTGAAAAGAAAAGCAAGCTACATAGGAGAGCGATGTTCCTATCCAAGCATCTTCTCCAGTTACACTCGGTGTAGGGAAATGCACATTTTATTCGAAGTTTAAGTTTAGAACATAAATAAATAAAATGCAGGGTTATACAAAACACTCTTGCCTCTTTCTCAGGAAGGATCAGGCCAGCTCCAGCCAGAGAAGGGAAGGACCCAGGGTACAGACGGAGTCACGTGTTTGTTCACATCTTGTCCTGTTTTTCAGACCTCAGCAATGCAGGAATTTGTTTTGCTTGACTACACGTGGGTGACAAGTTTTGTTTTTCTTGCTTTCTCCATGGGGGTTGGAGGGAGAACAAAAGCCAAGTGTTCTCATGAGGCCAGCAATCACATCACTTTCTCTAACACTCTGTTCACATTTTTCAGATAAGAAATGGTCTAAAAATCAATGACGCTTTCACATAGATGACCTGTTCCTCAGCAGCTCTGCAGTCTGCAGAAAAACCCATGATCCAAGGTCTTTAAGCTTCTCATCACAAGCTTCATCCTTACAGAATGTGGAGAAAATTTAATTCAGAAGCTCGACAGAAAGCTCTCCTCTGCGGTCTCCCTGGGGTGTGGAGAAGCCCGGAAGATCTCCAGGGCTGTCAGGGGAATGACTGAGCTCTGGAAGGACGTGAGCAAGATCGTGGTGATGGGTTTTCTGTTTGGAGAAGCTCATGCCACGAGGCGACCCACGGAGAAGTAACGACAACCTCAGACTGGGCGGTTCATGGAGACCATGTTATGAATGGCACGAGCAGGGCCAGGAGAGAACAACGAAGAAACAAACAAAACGAGTGCGGCACAATCACAAAGACCAAGGATGGCCCGAAGAAGGCAGAAGGCAGCCCCTCCCCCGCAGAGATGGGATGTCCACAAATGTGGTGCACTGCAGTTAGTTCAGACTTTTTGATGTAGTGATCCGTTCTGCTCATTCTTTTTCTCTCTCATTTTCTTTCTTTTTTCTTTAAAAAACAATTTGTTATATGGACTGTCTCTCTGAGAGAAGAGGGGGAGAGATACTGGGAGAAACTGATGCTGTTAAAAAAAAAGACAAAACATCAGCACTTTTTTTAAAGGTAGTTTGGCATTCAAGATGGAGCCTAGACATAAAAATTCGGGCATCCTGAAGCCAGAGAATCCAGTTATATCAACGAAAAGCCGCTCCCAGTTACCAAGGGCTTCCGAGTTTACAAAACGTGAGTCAATTCTATGCACACCAAGGCCCTCACCGAGGTTAGCAACCTGGTCAAAAAGGGAATGAGGCTGGGCGGGCATCCTCGGCACGGTGGCACCTGCTCATCACTGCTTACCTTGCTAGCTGCCTGTCCGCCATCTTGCTTTTCCCAGAAACTAGAGTCGAGATCCATGCCCAGAGTCCGTAAACTCGCTTCTCTTCCCTCGTCTGAGCTCTGGCACAACCTGTGCCCTCCTCCTTTGTGACTGGGATCTCGACATCCTTGCTCCTCCCGGACAGAAGGACTTCATTCCTCTGGGTCAGGGGCTGGATTCAGCCAGGGCAGCTCGCCTCTCCTCAGGCCCCCTGGCTCCCACCTCCGAGTCACGGTTGTCCAGCCACACTCCCAGAAGGACAGTGTACACGGGGCGGCTGTGCGGGCGGGGCGGCTGTGCAGACGGGGCGGCTGTGCGGACGGGGCAGCTCTGCGGCTGGCGCGGAACCTCTTTGTCTCCCACCAGGCTTCCGTCTCCTTCAAACAACAGCACTCTCCCCAGGACATACACTAGCATTTACTCTGCTCCTGGGAATTTGTTTCCACAATTGCAGGCAGTCAGTGAAGTTATGGGGGAGACAGATTCCTCTAGATCCAAGTCTAGTCTCTTCAGAAAAAAATCCATCTTTCACTCGGTAGAACTACTCCTCTGTGTTTCTCTCTGAGTGGCCTAAGGCTGACTGTTGTATGGGTTAGTCGAGATCCTCAAGAGCCACGGTTCTCCCTGCTCTGGGTTGCAGAGGGTGGAACCAGGTTCTCTTCCTCACCCCAAACTCCCTGCTGGGAGAGGTGGCTGTGGAGCTCTCCATCAGGGAGAGGAGAAAGAAGGGGGGAAGGGAGGAAACAGCAGCGAAGCCCCCAGCACGACGACGTCACAAGCCTCGGTGCTGGCTTGGGATCTGCATCCTCTTCGGCTGTCCAGACGCTCTTCCGACCCTCACTGCTCTCCATCGTGCGTCCCTTCCCCTCCCCCATCCTACACCCCTGCTCTCCGACCTCCGGACAGGAGTAAGCCTTCTTCATGTGCACTGCCATTCCCCATCCCCCTGACCTGTCATGCTTCTTTTAAACAAGGTTATACACATCCAGAGTCAGAGTCCAGCCTTGGGTTTCATCCCAAGTCTCACGGGCAGCTCCAAAGTAAAATCTGCCACCTGCCACCTACACACAATGAAGGTCAGGGGTTTCTGCAGGCTCCTCTCCTGGACTTTGTCTCCCGTGAATGTCTGGGAGCCTTCACTGCTGACCAGTAGCTTTCTTCTTCCTCCACTGTGGCTACTCTCGATGCATCGGAGTTTGGGAACACACCCAGGGAGTCTTCTTTCTCTCTCGTCTTCTCCAGTTTAAAGACCTTTTGACTAAACTTACAAGACCCTTGGCAAATACGTTCTCACTGACGATTCAGGCACACTTCATCCCTGACCAGGAGTCTGTCAGCTGGATGTCGAAAGCTGCAGATACTGTCAGATCACCTTTGGGGGTGCTGTAAGCCCCCCAATTCCTCACCTGGTGACTAGCCTTCTGGTGGGGAATGCCCCTGTACTTGTCATGCTGGCAGTGCCTAGGATAGCCTACAATCTGCTAGGGTAGTACACGCAGCCTATGAAAACCCAAGGCCCCTGCCTGCCACAATGGCTGGAGGCCTTCCAGGGAATCCTCACTTAAAGAGTAAACCATGTCTGACGCACCTTCAACGTCACATGCATTTGAACTCTCTGAAAACTGGACGCTGACCTAAGAGGTCCATTAGCCACAGAAATTCCAACGTGCCTTTTTCCAATCCTGTTGGCTGACTGAGTGTCTGCCGGTATCTCAGCTATGACTCGTGTCCCTTTTCTTTCTGCAGTACAAGAGAAGTAATCACACAGCAGGTGAAATGATCCCGTTTCCTTCTATTTACAAAAACACACAGGAGGTGACTTTCTGAATCTCTACCAGAGAAGAAAAATAATAAAGAGCCGCTGTACGGGGGCTTACAGAACAAAAAGAATCGTTAAAGCAAGAGCGAGCTGGACAGACACTGTGAGAAGAGGGCAAGGAAAGGGGGAGATGACAGCAAGGGAAAGGAGCTGAAGGCAAACATGACGTCTCTCGGTTATGAGAAGATACAGAGGTTCTGAAAGCCCAGGAATCAGCGAAAGAGGGGAAGCTTTGTTCTCCAGCAAAAGCCAAGCCAACTGCTGCATCTTAAGTCTCTGCACCCCCTGGGTTAACGAACTGCAACCTCCCATGGGCCCTGGGCCGGGCAGCAAGTGTTGGGCTAACAAGAATGAGGCATGGCTGGGGCATCCCCAGGACAGACCGTTAATGAGTCAACAAGCTCTCTTGGAAAACATTTTTCCCACATTTCTTTTCCAAAGTAGCTTGTGGCTATCCTGGCAGCTGCACAGCTGGTTCCAATGCCAGGCCCAACCAAGGTGTCTGGGCCGGGCTGTGGGCACCGAACCCGGGCCCTCTAGCTTCACATTCCCTGCTGGCTCACAGAGAGGGCGGGACAAAGTTTTCTCTAGGCATCAGTACTGAGGGAGAGAAAACTTTGGCTGTGTTCCATAGCCTCCTCTTTCTCCAAGTCGGAGCAGGCCAACTACACCTTCTCCCTCCCCCAACTGCACAGCCACCTCATCTCCACAGGACTGTCTCCCCCTCAATCACCCCGGATGTGCACTCCAGCCCTGGGACTACTTCTCATATTGGAAGTGCGCTCCTGTCCCCACGGACTCTCCCTCTGATTGGTCAGTCCCTCTTTCTTCATCGTCTCCAGGCTCCAAAAGCCTTCATCTACCGCTCCGCTGGCTGTGACACCCCCCTCTACCTGTCAGCTTTCCTTCTTCCATTAGACCGTAGGCTCCCTGTGGGCAGGGACCGCCTTTCTGCTTCTGACTGTGTTCCCAGCACTCAGCGCAGCGGCAGGCACACAGTAAGTACTTCATAAATGCTTGCAGATGGACAAACTGTTCCTCCTCCTCCGGGCTGCCTTCAGTGATTACTTTCCATCATTCCCTGTGTTAGAGGATTCACCTCCACCAGGGGCCGCCTCCCTCGCTATTACCAGGGGTCCTGAGTATTCTCGAGGGGTCCCTTCTACTGGCCACACCCTGGAAGTCCTGGAAGGTCGAGCACCACGACCACCCCAGTTCTGCAGGGACCTCGTTATCCCCCCAACTGCGTCTCCTCCTGGAGGAAGAGGCCTGGAATTCTGCTCTGGGGACTAGTCTGCTGGCCCACTTCTCCGCTTCCCTCCCTCCTCCTATGCCACCAGCGTGCTCAGCACAAACCCATCTCCAGCTGACAAAACCTAAGACCCATCTCCAGCACCACTCCACTGGGGCACTCTCCTGATCCTTCCAGTTTACCAATGATCATTCCTGTGACTTTCCTCGATTAGTTTGGGGCTACTGAGTGCAGGGGCCCACAGAGCTGTGAAGATGATGGCGGTGTGTAAAGAATACAGTCACAGTAAAAACTGGAGGAGGAGGAGAGAGGCTCACGCATCAACAATGGAGACAAACAACAGATGGAAGTCCAACAGGCACATTAGTACCCTCGAGGTACAAGAACGACAGGAAGGCCTCCAGGATGCCAACTCAATTCTCTACACAGGAACTACGATCAAACAAACAAAAGTCACCGAGAATGAGGAACCTGGAGAAATGCGATCTCTTACACAGGGGAAAACATAATCTATCATTCAGAATTTTACAAGACAATCTTAAGTGATAAGAAAAGGTCAAAGTATCTTCCAAATGCTTTGATTAGGAAGACAAAGAGTATGCTACATTTCAAAAAGATCTTCAACAAAAAACGGTGAAAATACAATTTGGGCCCTTTGGGGTAAGCTTCAGTTATCTGAATAACTGGTTAATGACGTAAGTGGAACACCTCCGTGAGACTAAGTTTAACAAGGTGTTACTGTACAAACACACCAGCAAGAACACATTTAAAGACAAATAAATCGAGGGTAAACAAAGCCAGTCGGTGTAACACAGGTAACAGCAAATACAGGTCTCCATCATTTCATAGGTCCAGAGCTCCTTAAGAAAGACAATTTCATGTTAATTTTGTTGGTATCAAATACTTTTTCAGAAAGGACATTTATCCAATAGCTTGGTGGTAATAAAAATCAGTTTAAATCATTAAATGAATCACGAAAGAACACCCAACAATGTTATTTTTTTAAGCCTCAGTCTCTACGTGGCCAATGATGAGTATCTTCACTAACTAGGCCTTGACTGAATTCCTGTCAGACTTAAGTGAAGAGCAATGCATCCCTCATGTGAAATACAATGTTAAAACATGCTTTGGCACGCTTTGCTTGCTTACCTGCAGGGATTATCCCAATTCTTAGATTGCACTGGACTAACGATGCTTTGGGATCATTCTGGTCTATACCACAATCCTTCTGTGTCCTTCCAATGAGGCCATGCAACACCTCACTGAACATGCCATCTCCACCGACACAGACGATTCTGTGGGAAAGCAGAGAATACCGGAGCACTGCTTAGATGACCCTGCCCCAAAGAGGCATGGGTCTGAAAACGGTCAATCATCTTCAAAGAGCTTGGACCGGCTCATTCCAGGCCCTCGGAAAGCCGGCCCAACCAGCCTCTCCAGACCTTCACTCACGCCCCTCCCCGGCAGCCATGCTGGCCTGACTGTCCCCCTCGTAGGTCTTTGGGCCTTTGCTCAGGTCCCTCCCTCTGGTAGGGATGCACATGGACTTCTTCCCTCTTCCATCACCTTCCACTGCCGTCCCTGATATTTCTACCTATTAAGAGGCCGACATCCTCTGAGGTCCAATTCCAGGGCCACCTCGTCCCTGACCGGCCCAGCTTCCACAGTAAACGCTGACTGCCCACAATGCTCTGAGGGCTCTTGGGCTTCCACCACTGAGTGAGCTGGTTCCCTTTATCACACACAGACACACACAGACACACAGACACACAGACACACAGACACACACACACACACACACACACACACACACTCTTTCCTACATGACTGCAAACTTCTAATGAATAGAAACCGTGTCTTAAACAACTTGAGATCACAGACTTGGAGCAGGAAGGGGCCCCTGAGGTCACCTAGGCCAACTGCCTCACTGTACAGCTGAGGAAACAGGCCCAGAGAAGTGAAGTGAATTGCTTAAGCTCACCTAGGGACCAAGTGTCAGAGGCTCCCAACCCCACAGCCACCCCGCTGCTGCCCTAAGAAGGGAAGAAGGAAGGAATGATCCCAGCACACACACCTGTAAAGGGCCCCTGCTCCTCATCTCTCTGTGAGACCCCCTCATTTACAATTCGGAGGCAGGGACCAGCCATGGAGACTTGGATGAGCCACACAAAACCAGAAGCAGGGCCCTGGGAGGCTCCACACCATGGCCTAGACAGGGGGAGCCCCTGATCTCCACCCATCCCATCACTGCCTCACAAAAAGAATCACAAAGTGAAACAGACGGGTAAAGCATAATGCGTAATTCCATGTTTCTGGGATGTATTTTTTTAAATCAAGAGACAAGAACCCTTACTTACCCATCATATTTCTCAATATTAATTTCAAATAAACTGTCCTTGGCATGGTTAGCATGTTCAGTAACTGTGGAGAATAAGCATGTAATTTATAGTTAAGTTCTCATGAGAAATAATCAGCCATAAAATACCATTTTATGGTATTTAAATAAAAACAAGGAAACAATGCCTTAGAATCCGCCTACATGTTACACTGCCAATAGTAAGTGGCATCTTTGGCGACAGTAGTAGCAAGAAAGATTTATTTTTCAATACCTGGCTTAGGAAAACTCACAAATAAACCAGAAAGCACAAAGACCATCCTCTTGTCTTTGAAAAGACCAAGTCTAAACCATCAGGAAAAGCTGGCTGTTTGGGAACCTCTTCTGTGGGGCAGGAGCTTCTCCCCAAGACGGAGCCCAGGGACCTACATCAGGCACTACCTGGAGGAGAGAACCTACCGAGTCGGGGGGCACCCGCAGGATCTGTTGACAGAGAGCAGCTCGCACCCAAGACTCCCAATAGCCCTAGGAGGCAAAGGTGGCAGGGGCTCTGGTGGAGGGCAGTAGTCAAAGGTAAGATAAGTATGGGTGACAGGCCCAGGTCTTGGGACACTCCAGCCAGCAGTCTTTACAACATCACACAGGAGGCGATGGTGAAAAGAGCAGGGGAGCAAGCCTTTAACTTTTCATTTCCAATCAAGGATGAAGAACACCTATGGTGCACAGTGCTAGGCAGAGGGAGGGACAACCTGATTTGCAAATACCTTTACGTTGGACAGATATGAAGAATGGAAAAAGAGCAGCACCCAGAACTGACGGGAGCAAGAGTGCAGGAGGGATTGCTTTGGGAATTAAACAATGTTCTTCAATGAACCATACTCCTCTCTAAAAAAATTCCCCTTTCGATACCAATATTCTTCCATGATGCTAGATGGCCCTGAGTCATGGAACACCACAGCTACCACGGACATAAAGTTGAGGGCGTGGTGGGTGGGAGCAGACTACAAAACGTTACAATGCAGAAGTGAAAGGGAAGCCAGAGGACCGTCTGGCCAGACAGGGCAACGGGCAGCTGGAGAGCAGAGGGAAAGCTTGCTGATGCCGATGGGAGCCCGCATCCTCCGCTGGTCTCTGGGCACCCTGGAGAGCTGGAGTGGGAGGCTCCTGGCACACTGGAGGGAGGTGCAGAAAAGAAACCCAGGACCAGAAGGGGTGGATGGGCTGGGGTTGACACCGCTGGAAGGAGGACCGGGGAAGGCGGGATTGCTGATGCTACAGGGGAAAGGATTCCCTTTGGCATCACGAAATCTTCCAAAGTTTGGGGCTTCCCGGTGGCTGTGAAAAAGGTGAGGCCATGATTCTGCACAATTCCTTCTAGCCCTCTTCTCTATGTACTTCCTCCTCTAAAGAAATGAGCCCTTCCCTCTGTTTACTCCTAAACATCAACCAGATTCTTTCTGGCAAGCACCCGGCTCTCTGGAAAAGACCTCCAGCCGCTCCCTTCATTTCCATTTTAAATAGGTTAGATGAAGGGAATGCTGCCAGACACAGATATGTCTCCGTACCACATCTCACAAGTGTCATACAAGACGGAGAAGCGCGGGCTAGATGATCCTACGGTTAGACGGCTCTGGAACGAATGGAAGGACTGGACCAAAGACGCTTAGTCGATGTCGACTCGGAATGCAAGGCCACGTCCTTGACCTTGAGCCGGTCCATGTTTGTGTCAACGATGTGAATGTGAAGGGAAGGCTGGGGAACACTTTCACCCCTTCACAGGCGGGCTCCATCTGCCTTCTTCCGCCAATTTCACATTACTCTCTTTCTCTTCCTGTACACTCTAGGAAAACTGGTTTGCTTACTGATCCCTGACCTTGACATGTGCCAGGGACATGCCCCCTGCTCCTAGAGCCCATGCCGCAACCGAGAGTGGCTTCTTCAGATGCCACTGCCGTCTTCCTCTTCAAACCGGATTACGCTGATCCAAACCCTTGCAGAAGGGAAGGCGCTGTTCTGTTTCTGGTTGTTTATCGCCAGTATCCACGACTCTGGCATGTACTAGGAACTTCATAAATACTGACTGGATTGAATGGAGAGCTAATACTTCAAAGAGAGGTGAGATCTGAAAAGCTCTCCAGAGGCCAGAACAAAGGGCTGAACAGAATGGAACACGAAGCTTAATAGTGAGAATATGAGGTACTGAAGCCAAGCTCCCCAAAATAACTGCACAGAAAAGGCAGAGAGGCTGTGGTCGGGCCAGGTACACAGGAATGCGCCAGGGCTTTCAGCGAGCTGCCGTCCAACAGGCTCAACAGTGCAACATGGCGGCCACGTTCTCCGCACAGCGTCCACAAAAAAAGGGGGAATGGTCATGCTACATTCAGCTCCAGCGAGGCTAACCCTAGGACACTGTGTTCAATTCTAAAGACGGACAATGTGGAGCTTCTTCAAAATAGAAAGATGAACAGGATAGCAAAAGGCCGAGAGTTTATGCAACAGGTCAGCAGAAAGAACTCTGCCTCTTCGGTCTGGAGAGGACTCAGGCTGTCTAAGACCTCCACACAGTCTTCCAGTAACTACAGGGTTGTCCTGGGGTACGTGGATGGATTCAAGTGCTTTTTGCTGGGCCTCAGAGCATGAGTCGGTGGGTAGTAAGACACAGAGCGGGACTCAGGATCGAGGCAAAGAAAAACGTCTTCACGACTAGAGGTTCCCCAAGGTGGCTGGGCCCCTGCTGCTGGAGACGGGCACCGTCCATCCCTGGGAGCCTTCAAACCGAGGGTGAGTGAGTGGTCACTCTTTCATTCACACGGGTGTTGTTGGGGGGCCTCTGGACCCTGTGCAACCTGGACTACGGTCATCTCTGCGGCTCCTTCCAGCTCCTGATAGCATTCCTTGATCTCATGAAGCCTATCCACAAGTCTCACCAGGCTATATCCTTTAACCCGTTTTTGTTTTTTTTTTAATCCACAGAACTGCAAGCAATTAAACTTCTATTCTGTTTAAGACAATCATCTTGTGAAGCTGCTTTGCTCCGGTCACTTGAGTGCTTAGCAGAGTGCCTGGGCACACAGTAGGCACTTAATAAATCCTTGCTGAATTGAAACGAGTAAGTCAAGCTCCCATTTCCACAGCACACCAAGGTCTACAGAAGCCTTCCTAGGCGCTGTCTTGTTGGAAGCTCAGGACAGCCCCTGGTGAAGGGGTCATCCCCAGAGAGACGACACAGAGAGCGAGGGATCTTGGGGGCCACACTAATCCAAGCTTTTTGGAGGGCTCTACCACTCACCATGCCATGCACAAAAGTCACGTATAAGCAAACCTTCACATTTATAATATGCTCTGTTGAATTCAGTAAAAGAAAAGGATGAGCCTTACCGATGACATCAGCAGTGATAGAAGCTAGCTTAAACAGCGGTGCGACTTTCTGTTCGTATATTCGCTTGCCTTGTCTTTTTCCTCCAAAGGGATTAATATACACAAGTAAGTGCTTTGGTCTACATGCTACAGGGAGAAAAGAAGGAGATGTAAATCACCATGGGTAAACAACAGCGTAAATCCAGATAAGAGAGGCATTCAGAAAATGATAACATAATAATGATTTCAGAACCCTGATGCTGTTTTTTCTGAAACACTATCTTTTAAGTCTTTCAAACAGTGGGAGCCCCATCTTCTTCACGTGAGGGCCTCCTCCGTAGACAGAGTGCCTGATGAAGAGGCAAAAAGACTAGCCACTGTTCTAGAGTTTCCTGTAAGCCCTGAGTGGTTAAGTGACTGGCCTAGGGTCACAAGGCAAGTGTGTGTCAGATACGAGACCTGACCTGAACCCAAGGATTCCAGTGTCCAGGTTCAGCTCTCCATCCACTAGGTCACCCCCTCCTCTCCGGGCTCCCTTTAGATGCTGAACACAACGACTGGCCCACTGGACAGGCTCAATGGAGTAAAGAAAAGGGAAGAAAGAAAAGAAGAGGAGAACAGGCAAACGATGGCTACTCCTCGTCAGGCGTCCCTTCCACCAACCACTCTGAACAGAGCAGGCTCTTCTTAAATATCCGTTCAGTTCACTCAAGGGCCAAGCACAGAACTTGCAACAAAAACACGTGATTAAAAAGTAATGAGCAAAAGGACTTTGGAAATAAAGATGTCAGGAAGAAAGCGTACAAGGACAGAAATAATTTAAGATGAGAGCAAAGGAAAAGGGGGACAAAACGGAATTTTAACATAAGCAATTTAAAAACAAAACCTTTCAGATCACACAGGACTAACGGGCCTTTTCAAAGTGTATCAGGCTCCACTGGGGAATGGCTAACTGAGATGTGGTGTGTGAAGGTAACGGAATACCACTGTGCTTGAAGGAATGAGGATTACTGCAAACGCAGAGAGTCTGCGGCAACTTGTATGCGCCGAGGCAGAACAGGCTGAGCAGGCTGAGCAGAGGCATGACGACAAGCTTGCCCACGACCCCAACACCAGACATGGAAAGAGCGGTCCACAGCAGGGAAATGACTTGCCTCAGTCTCCTCCCCACAGCTGCCCGATGCATATCCCTAAAGTACACATCTGCTCCAAAGCCGCCAAGGACACAAATGCTTCCACTGGACACGGACCAGCCAACGCCACCCGGCCCCGGCCAACCCTTCGTGGGCGCTGCCTTCCAGCCTCTGGGGTGCCTCCTCTGGGCCTTTGCTTTCACCGTCCCCTGCCTGACCTGCTGTCACTCCTCACCTCCTTCAAGACTTGGCTTATGTGCCACCCTCTACCAGGAGCCTGGGGGAGTGCTCCAAACGGCTGCTTCTCGAAGGCCCCCCATCCTATCCACCGTATCGAGGAAGATGAGCCAAGAAGGTGCAGGAGGAGGAGGGAGGAGGGAGGAGGGCAGCTCAGACCCCCTACAGCTACTCCAATAAGAGACCTCACAAGAGCAGAACACCAAATGGGATTGGAAATCCAAGGAGGACCCCAACGGGCTTCCAGCCCAACAGACAGACCGGAGCAGGGACTATCGCCACTCTCCCATTGATGACCCGGGCTGCCTAAAGCAGATCACAGACTGGGCCTCACTTGCCAGAATTGGCTCTTTTTCAAAGTTCAGCTTTGTTGCCAGCTTTTTCACAAAGCTCTTTTAACCCCATCCCAGTTCTTTCTGCTCTCTCCTTCCACAAATTACTCTGTGATTTATTTACCCGTGTGCACACTGGAGTTCCCGTGTCAGAATGTAAGTTCTTTGAGGGAGAGGACTTTTCTTTTGTCTCTGTGTTCCATCAGGGCGGCACGCAGTAGGTGCTTAGACATTTACTGAAATAGCTAGCGTCCTCAGAAGCGCTCTCAACTCTGCCGTCCAAGCTGCCCATGATCTCTCAATCGCCAGATCCAATGGCCTTTTTTCTCTCCTCCTTCTCCTTGACCTCTGTGGCCTCTGACCCTGTGGATCACTCTCTCCTCCTCGATACCGCTTCCTTCTGAGTTTTCGTGACGCCCGTCCGCCTCCTGTTCTCCGCCTCCTGTTCTCTGCCTCCCTCTCTGTCTCCTGTGCCGGAGCCTCCCCCAGATCACTCCCTCGAAGCAGAGGCGGCCCCCAGGGCTGTCCCAGGCCTTCTGCTCCTCTTTCTCTAGACAACTTCACTTGGTGATCTCATCAGTTCCCATGGATTTAATGACCATCTCTATGCAGACGAATCACCGATCTTTCTCTCCAGGCCCAGTCGGTCTCCTGAACTCCAGGCCCCCATCATCGACTGCCTCTGGACACCTCAGATGTCCTGCAGACATTTTAAACTCAATGCGTCCAAAAGGGAACTCATTCTCTCTCCCCCTGGGTTCCCCCCGCTCCTACCTTCCCTACTAGCACAGAGGGCAGCACCGTCCTCCCATTCTCTCCAGCCTGGACTCTTCACTCCCTCCCACTCCCCAAATCCAATATGGCAGCACCTCTTGAATACGTCCCCTCCTCTCCCGACACTGCTGCCTCTGCTGCAGGCCCTCAGCACGTCACACATGGACTACTGCAACAGCTTTTCCTAGTTGGTTTCTCTGTCGACTCCAGTCCATCCTTCACTCAGCTGTCAGTGATCTTTCTAAAGCAGAGGTCTGACCAGGTCGCTCCTCCGGCCGGCCCCGTCCCCATTCAGTACACTCCAGTGACTATCCGTAGGCTGTTTAAGGTCTGTTATATAACAGGACCACGCTGCTCTTCCAGTCTTACACCTTTCACGTACCCGGGGACACTGGCCTCCAGGTTGTTCTTCACACAAGACACCATCTCCCAACATCTCCCAACTGGGGGGCTTCTCTCCCTCCTCATCTCCACCTCCTGGCTCCCCTCAAGTCCCACTCAAAATTCCACCTTCTGCCTGTCCCTTTCCTGGTTCTTGTTTGTATATAGTTGTTTGCGGGTTATCTCCTCCATTAGACTGTGAGCTCCTCAAGGGCAGGGCCTGTGTTCTGGACTTGCTTTTATCCCCTGTGCGTGGCATACAGTAGAGAGCAGGGACTCTATTCTGCCCTTCTTTGTAGCCCCAGGGCTCAGCACGGTGCCGGGAACATCCTAGGCATCTAACTTGACCCGACTATCCAATCCAGCCTTTCCGCCGCGGTTAAACGGATCTTCCTTTCTGCACAGATCTGGTCATCGATGGCTCTGCTGCTCATGGACTAAAGTTCAGGGTCCTCGGCCAGTCACTGCAAGCACTCCAGAGTCCGGAACCACCCTCCTTTACTTATCTTGTCTCTTATTACTTCACCTCCACATGCTCCCAAATCCAGTCCAACTCTGTCAGTTCCTTGAACACACCCTAAAAATCTCCATGCATTTCCTCAAACTGCTTCCTAGGCCTGGAATACTTTCCCCTCCCTACTCACCTGATAAATTCCTATTTGTGCTTTAAAACTCAACTCAAACGCTTCCTCCTCTAGGAAGAGAAGAGCGTCCCTCCAAAATCTCACCATGGTAATTTTCTCCTTGAGGCCTTATTTCAGTCTCTTTTGTAACTCTGATATATTGATTTAATATTAACGATATATATCACATATTATGTCTTTCTCCCTACTAGATATCATATCCCCTAAGGAAAAGAAGCAAGTCTGATCTAAGTTTATTAACTCCTCAAGCAACTTGTACATTCTAAATAAATATTTGTCTAAGTGAGTCAGTGAAGTGTTCTGCTACCCACAAAGATAGCTCTGTGTCTTCAGAAAATACCAATGTTAATAGCGGCTTATGAAAATGAGATGTAAGAGTCTCCTCGTGTCTCTTCACATCAGGGTGCACAGAATGATGTCCTTCATGGGCTCTAAAAGGCTAAAGGTAAATGTTAAATAACCACAGAATGGGGGGCTAGGGAAGTGGTGACTAAACCCAGAAACAGATGAGGTGCCTAGGAATAAATGAAGGGAGGGATGGGCTGGAAAATCAAAGCTGTAAAGGCTCAGAGGCTGAGATCCAGTAGGAAAAGGGAAAAAAGCCAACTTGAAGGGGCCTTCTTGAATGAGGCTCCTCACACTATGGGCAAGAATGGAAAGAAGGCCAGCTGTCCTCGGGGGCAAGACCATGAAATGCACGGGCCCTGCTGGACCATGACGCCCACAGGTCTGAACAAGCCTCATTCATTTTCCTCATGAAACTGCAAATCACCAGAAAATCATCTCCAGACCACCTGATGGCCTAGAAAGGGGCCTGCCATGCATCTCCTCACCTAGAGTCTGTCCAGACCCCAAGCACGGCCCGGAGAGGGTCTCCTGAACAATGACTTCAACCAGTTTGACAGAAATCAAGCCACCCTGCTAAGGTCAGATTTCAAGGAAGGGAGAAGGGGCAAAGAAGGACCCACAAAGGAAGAGTTAGTGAGGCCACAATTAACTCCTCTCTTTTCCACACATTTAGATGCCAGGAACTTACTCAGCTTCTCAAGCAACTCTCTGAGCGTCTGTATCCACTGGTTACAGAGCATCTCCTCCGTGCACCAGAAGGTCACGTGACTGCACCGCCAGCGGTGACGCCGCGCTCTCTTTACATAGTACACTACAAAAAGAAACACATTCATCAGTCCCAAGTGGGTACGCCTCAGGGGCGTGATGTATTCATGGTGACTGGCCAAGCTGTCAAATGTCTTCAGATGCATGATGCCCATAATAAATAGGGGGTATTAATAACCAGGAGAAATGCTGTGCTACAAAATCAGGCAAAAGAGAGAGGGCAAAGAACTCATACCGGCAAGTTTTAGGAAAGACACCCCACGGGACACTGAGCAAGTCGCCCCTGGCCCTCCCCAACCCTGCACCAACCTCCCTTTGACAGAGGCTGCACGTATGTTAGAGAAGCCGGGGGAGGACCCAGTGCCCTAGGAGCCCCAGGCCGCCACAGTTTTACCTGTAAAAGCGTAAGGCTTTCCCATCTTTTGCCATTTCCCACTATGATAGTGCTTCTCATCAATTTCTGTTTCTTCTACAGTGATAATCTCAGAAACAGGAACTGAGCAGGTATCTGTGAAGGCAGAAAAATAGTAAGAAAAGCCAATGTTAAAGGGAGAAATTGATGAGCACGTTCAAAAGAGAAAAAAGCCAATGTTCTAGTTTTTATTCATAAGATATTAGAAGCCAAAAATAAGGCACACACCACACTTCAATCTTCATGACAGCTAACGGCATGATCACCCCAGAATCAGCTTTCTGTTACTTGGCAGGACTGAGAAAGAAAACGCCTGGTTTGGAGCAGCTTAGCACACACAGCGCACGCATTTCCAAGAGTCGGCAAGACGTTGCCCCTGCACAAACAGCTTCTGGTCTAAAGGTTAACACAGAAGTTGATTATTTAGGAATCAGAGCTGAAGCAAAAACGTTACTGGTCTTCTTCAAAAATCTATCTTAAAAGCTCCGTGCTCAGAGGGCATCCATTTAGAGAAACCCAAAGAGGGAAGATGGAACTTTTTGAGGAGACTCAAAAGGAAGGAGCCCTGAGAACCTGCCAGGGTGGCAGTGCCTGGGCACAACTTTTTATTACGATTACTAACATTAAAACATGTTCCTCGATACAGACACCTTGCAGAAGAGAAGAGGGACAGGCTTGGGGGACGGCCAATGGAAAGGTCCCGAAATGGGCCATGGAGACGGAAAATGGAGTGGCCATCTCCCAGGGGTGCGAGACTGCGGTGTCCTGGAGGGAAGTCTAGGGTAAGGAGACTGGAAGGGCAGGACAGAGACAGGCTGTGAAGGGCTCAAAAGCCCACAGGGCTAGGGCTGCAGTGACCCAATCAGACTTCTGCCTTAAGACGATCGTGACCTTTTAGTGAGTCAGAAGAGACCCTCACCCAGACAAGAACCTCAGAATCACTTTTGATTTTAGCTTCTTCCTCACCTTTCCAACTCATTCATTTGCCAAGTCCCATCAAGTCTTTCTATTCCTACTGCACCCTCTATGACCAACTCTCCCCTTTAAAGGCCCACTCAGAGTTACCTAAAAACCATAAAACCACAGAAATGAAAGTCACTGCAAACGTCTCCCAGTCTAGCCAACCCCTCAGGACATCCCCCCCCAAGAGAATCCTGAGCTCCCCTGGGACTGTGGTACAGACAAAAGCATGAGAGGCCTGACTGAGATGAGGAGCAGCCTTCGCCACAGGACCCTCCCTCCCGAGCCCTCCCGAGAGCTTTGGTAAAAGGGGACAGAAGAGTCCCTGGTTACCAGTGGCACACGACGCCCAGAACTGGTGGAGGCCTTCACCACATAACTTGCAGATTACCATTCCCCTCCATGTTCCTGTCTCCTGCTCGACAGACTGGGGGCGATTTCCCCGGCCTGGGTCTACAGAGGTCTCACCTGCAGTTCCCCCGGTCCCTATGATTCCCCACTCCCAGCCCCGCCCCTGACAATCCCCATCCCCCCTTTGGCCCTTTCAGGCTTTTCTTTACCCCTAAGCACTCCCATTTCTCCCCAAATCTCTTCCCTTCTTCTTTGGGCTCACTGCTCAGGGCAGAGGGCAGATAAGAGAAAGGAAGACCCAGACTGTCTGGTTTCAGCTGGTCTGACAAGAGGTTTGACAAAAAGTGTCAAATCCACAGAACTACAAGAGATACTGTCAGTTAAACAAATCTACTTCCCCAGGCCCTGATCGCTTCCATCTCAGGGTAGGAGAGTAAAGGAACTTAAGTACACGGCAGACAAACAGCTCCAGGAAATACTGAGGAATTGTGGGGAATGACAGGCCCCGGAGCCCCTTTCTCTTCTCCAAACTCCAGGAATCCTGGGACGGTCTTAAGGATTTCACTGCCTCCCTTCCACACCCTGCTCTGAGAATAACAGGGTTTGAGCACAAATGTGAGGAGGGCATGGTGGGCCTAGGAGGCCTGGCTCAGAATCTCACTTCCGATACTATTTGTCTTCTGTCAAGTGAAGGTACAAACCAATATCTCTCACACACACACACACACACACACACGTCATTCCCCAAAGAGGTGAAAGGGTGGGAACAAATGATTCTCAAAAGAATTACAAACTACTAAAAACCACCTAAGAGAATACTCCAAATCACTAATCAATCATAGGAGAAATGCAAATCAAACAACCCCCAGGTTTCCCTTCATGTCCAGCTTATTGGCAGGGATGATATAAGACGATGACAGCCAATGTCTGAGGAGTTGTGGAAAGCTCGGCGCACAGATGCACAGCTGTTGGGTTCTAGAACCCAAGCAATTTGGAATTATGAGAGGCTAAGATGTCCCCGCCCTTTGAGCCAGGGACTGTAGTACCAGTCACATCCTCTGAGGCTCCATATAAACCCAAATATCTGCACCATCAAAAGCTTAAGTGACTTGCCCAGGGCCACACTGCTACCAAGTATCTGAGGCAGAATTTGAACTCCAGTCTCCCTGACCTTGAGTCCAACCAATCCACTGCCCCACCTGGTTGCCTTCCAGCTGTAAATTTTGAACCCCTGGAATTTATTTGCTTGAGGAATGAGGGAAAAGAGCCAAGAATAACTCTAAGGGCACAAGTCCTGAATAAGGAAAAATTGTTGTGCCCTTAAGAGAACTAAGAAGGTTAGAAAAGAAGTTGGCGAGATCAGTCGAATTCCATGACTCTAAAGTAAAACTGTATTTCAAGGTTTAGAAGAGAACTTTAAACCTCAGTGCATTTCCTACTCAACGGTATTTACTGTTGTTAAACAATAGGGAAATCCGTTTTTTTAATGTTTAGGGAGCCACATGTTTATGATGTTTAAATCTGTAAATTCACGTAATCACCAAGCATTCATTAAGCCCCTGCTCTGAGTACAGAATTACACTAGAAGCCAAGGGAACGATAAACATGGATCACTTGATTCTGGCCTAGAAGTTTAGAGGAACTGAGTTTCTAAATGTAAAGTGTATCAAGAAACCTGAGAATTTACTCACCTTCCAAAACTACCCCCCAAATGAAATTCACTGTAAAATACAACAACAGAATCAAAGTTTCATTTCCCATTTAGGTGGCACAATGGCTCAGGGTGCAGAGCTTGGGGACCTGGAGTCAGAAGAGCTGCATTCAAATCTTGCCTCATATTTACTAGCTGTGTGACCCTGGGCAAGTCATTAACCCCTTTTAGTCATCCTCACTGGTAAATGGATCACTTTACAATACGGAAGCTGAAATAAGCGGGTGGGCCTGCGAGAACAAGACTGTGACCTTGCCATGAAATCTTTGGCACTGTCTTAAGGAGTGATACTGAATAATGACACTGAAGAGAAGAGGGCAGGTATGTAGGATAGTGATAGCATGAATTTTCACATCCTCCGATGACATCCAGCCACCGCTCTGCCATCCCACCAACCACGGGATTGACTCTGCAAAGCTACAGCACAGCATGTATTCTTCTAAAAGGAAAACAACTCAAAACCTACAGCAAGTCAGAAGAACAAAAGAAAGTACTGACCTGCAACGCTGCTGTTGTGGTCTGGGGGTGCTTGGAATCCCAAAATGCAGGGCTACAGGGCAGGGGTCTGCCTCAAAAGAATTCGACCGCTCAGGCCTTCTTTCGGTCCAAGTACACCAATAGAAGTAGGCCAGACTCCTAGTGAGTCTGCGGTATTTGTGAGCCAATACAAGTGGGCCAGACTTTAAGAATCTGCCTATTTGATGAGAGTTAGGTTAATATTTTATACAGAAAGACTGTGGGAAGATCTAGATAGGACCTAGGAGCAGCAAGTCTGGGGTGGTCTGGAGGTAACAGAGAAGGGGTCTAGATGGGATAAAGGAGTATTGAGCAAGCTAATGGGGCCAGATGCCTCAGGCGAACACTGGGGACCGGGCAGTGTGGGAAAATTCAAGGGCTTTTCCTTTTAGAGGTCCAGATCCCAAAGATATGGTCTTTCCTTTTTAGGGGTTCAGATCCCATTCCCATCACTGCCTTTAAGGGGAACCATCCCTACTAAGAGTATCTGAGAGCTCTGTCAATTTTTCCTAAGTCCTTACTGATAGACTTTGTGTTTTCACATTAGCCTGGTTTCCCAGATCCCATAGATCACAAATATTTTTAAAGAGAAAATAGCAAGCAGATGCATTCAGCATGCTCTCAGTGAATATGAAGCTAGGTACAGCGTAGGACGCCTCTGCACAGGGCTGGGGACCTCTTGAGGTCCTTCTTAAATTTCGTGTGTGCGTGTGTGTGTGTGTGTGTGTGTGCGTGCGTGTGTGTGTGTGTGTGTGTGTGTGTGTGTGGAGGGGGGGTGGGAAGGGTGTCCTTCCACGTCTGTGGCCGTGGTCACCGTACCTGGTGTCCTCCTGGCTCGGCATTTTAGGCTTCTCTGTACTCTGCATGTTCATCGTTGCTTACAGCCCAGGAAGATTCCGCCCTGCTCTTGGTTAGCCACCCCCATCAAGAGGCACTAGTTCTTTCCCACTCTTTGTCACCACATTACTCTCCAGGCTGCACTCTGGTCTCTCTCGGGGCTGTGCCCTAGACCTTGGCATCATCCCCAGAGCTGGGGAGCTCGCTGCGGCCCTGCCATTTACACCCTCCAGCGGAGATGGCTCCTAGGCCAGAGGTACGGTACTACACTCTCCAGGCTGCACTCCCAACTTTCTCTACTATGCTCCCATGCTAGGGACCCCCCCTTCTAGTTCCCTTGTGTATGTTCTGCCCCCATCCCATTAAAATGTAAGCTCTTTGAGGGGAGGGTCTGTCTTTCTGCTGCTATGTCTATTCCCAGCACTCAGCACAGAGCCTGGTACACAGTATAAGAGTTCAATGAATGTTTGCTGACTGACTGACAAAAAGGGCTGCTATGAACATGCTGTCAAATTTGAAAAGGAATAAGGTAGAGCGTTCATCTCCCTCAAAGCCTTTGATAAGAAGAGTCCCTGTGCCCTGTTTTCAAATCAAGCCAAAAGCAAGTTATCCTTCAAATCCCTTTTCACAATCTGAGGGATGAGGAAAAAGAGGCCATTACAAAGGAATAAAAGTTAAGTGAAACCACTTCCACCAAGCCTGAGCTGGTCTACCCCTGAGTGTGCCCGAGGTGGCCAGGAGGGGCAGTGTTGCCAATATTGACCTAACACTTCGGGGTTTGTAAAGCCTTCACATAAATGATCTCAACCCAGTGACAACCTAGCGGGTAAGTACAATTCCTAATCCCATTTTAAACTTGGGAAAACGAAGACTGAACCAGGTTAAATGACCTGCCCAGGGCTATAAAGCCTGCAAGTGACTGACTCAGAATCTGAAGCCCAATCTGGTTTCCCTCTCTCCACAAAGCCAGCTGGCTGCCACGATGCAGAGGGCTCGGGA